TCTCTCTCTCTCTCTCTCTCTCTCTCTCTCTCTGAGAGAAACATGCAACCTTTATCGGACTGTCTTCCTTCCAAGTTGTCTCAGAATCCATGTACTCTGACCTGTACCCCGGACTGTCTTTGTTGTTATCTCTTCCCTTCTTTGGTTTTCTTGTTCCTCATACAAAGTTTCCCAATACCTGGAGTGTTTGCCATGACACAATAGACAAGTTGCAAATAAAAACAAGATACACTTTGTAATTGACACAATAGACAAGTTGTAGCTAACGCAATAGACATGTTGTAACTGGCCCTAGAAACAAGTTGTAACTGACACAAGAAACATGTTGTAACAGACACAATAGACAAGTTGCCTGACATAACAGACAAGTTGTAACTGACACAAGAGACAAGTTGTAACTGACACAAGAGACAAGTTGTAACTGACACAAGAGGCTGTAACTGACACAAGCAACAAGTTACCTGACATTAGGAGACAAGTTGTCACTGACACAAGAGACAAGGAAAGTGTTTCAGCTGCAATACTATGTTTTAATTAACTTTGTGAACATTATCGAGAATACATTTGGAACCGTCTGGACTTTCGGTGAGTTTATTCCCGATCACGGCAGAACATAACAGCGCTTGGTAGAGCTGGTGAAGAAGTTTCAACTTTAGAGATGGAAAAGTTTGTGCATCAAGATAAGAGCTGAACATTTAAGTAATTTAAACTGCACATTATGTAATGGTATAAATTTTTCGTCCGTCAAAGTGTGACGATGACCGATGCATCTGCAGAGGAGAATAATGTAAGCTAAAACGTAATTGAACAATTTAATATAGGTAAACATGATTTGTGGCCTCGACTTTGGCCGCCAATGAAACCAATTCTGGCAAAGAAAAGTTTGCCACACTTTTTAGCGTTTAAAAGCTTCGTTTCCACTCAAAAATTGTTCGCAGCTTGCTGGCTTCTCTTATGGCCAAAACGCACTGACGTGTAAGAAAAAAGCGCTATTGTACATGAAACTAGAAATATAGGCGCTAACAAAGAGGTATTATTGTGTGTAAAACTAGACATATGGGTAGGCCTACTTAGAAAAAGGTATTATTTTATACGAACCTAAACATGTAGTCACTAACAAAAGGTATTATTGTGTTTGAAACTAACCTTGTAATAGAAAAGGTGTATTGTATGTGAAAGTACAAAATTCTTGCGATTAATTTGTTCAGGTTGAAAAAGTAAGTGCGTGTCATGGAATCCATCGACACGAAGAAATTGATGAAGTGTGCCAGAATGCCTGCGCTGGTATTCAACAAACTTTAGGAGCCTGATGTTCCTTGGCCCAGGCTGTATTCTGAACAACCTGAACGGGCGCTCCATTACTGCGAGATGGCGTTTAGAAAAGAATCCATTGAGATTTCCCGAAGCGGAACCGCCTCTCGCACAGTACTAG